TTAAGCTTTCTTTCCACCGCCTTCCATTGCCCACCGATGTGGGACTAGTTTTTCAATTCTGCCCTCCTCATGAATTATATAAAGAATTTTGTGAATAATAATTTCATCAAATAAATTTAGATTAAAAATATAGTGCTATTATTTTGGACTATTAACAAATGGTTCGCTTTCAGTTATTCACCTCCTCCTCAATCTATATCTATATCTATACTATATTATAAATCATTTGAAAAAAACTCTTAAAAATAATTTTTTATGTATAAAGTACTGTTTGTTGATGCATATTAATTAAAATTCAAGATTACAAGTTGATTATGCGTAGGTACAACTTATTAAAGCTTCATATTCGAATTCGTATAACTGCGGATAAACATAATCAAATACATGATAAACACCATTTTAATTATAAAAAATTTAAAATATAATTAAAATAATAATTGAGAATACTTAATTATTATCTTAAATAAATTATTTTATTAAACCAAAAATAAATTAGTTTGTTTTTAAAATTCAATTAAATTATAATAAAAAGTTGAATTAAAAAATTACACAAAAAAGAGAACTTTTAAATAGTTAATTTAATACTAATAACGCTTATTTTTATCAAAATTTTATAATATCTTCAAATTTATATTTCATTCAAAAATAAAAACACTTTATTTTTTTAAAAACCACATAAAATCGTATTATAACATTGATAGACCCAAAATATAAAGCGAAATATTAAAATTAAGATGTATCTCGCTGCATTGAGCGAGTACCTTCTAGTTATATTATAAAGCATTTGACAAAAATTCTTAAAAACCAATTTTTATGCACAAAGTACTGTTTATTGATGCATATTACTTAAAATTCAATATTACAAGTAAATTGTGCATAAGTACAACTTATTAAAGCTCCGTGTTTAAATTCGTGTAACTAACTACAGATAAACATAATCAAATACATAATAAACATCTCATTTTTAAATATAAAATATCTAAAATAAAATTAAGATAATCATTAAGTTCTAACAGAATACGTAATTATTATCTTTATAAAACATTATATTATTAAATCAAAAATAAATTACTTCGTTATTAAACCTAAATTAAATTATAAAAAATTGAATTAAAGAAATTACACAAAAAAACGAAAAATTGAAACTGAGATACATTTTGTTGCATCGCACGAGTACCCTTTTAGTATTCTTCAATGCAAATCGAATTCGAAAGTCAACTCAGATGTATCTCCCAAAATAAGGTTTTATTTTATGGGAAAAGTAAAATTTCGCAACAAAAGCAAAAGTAAAACAAAAGTCGTATTCTAGAGTGTAAACGAGTCGAGTCGCAGGTTATTCGAGTTCGGTTTCAAAAATAATATCAAGCTCGAATAACCTTTTCTAGAGTAGGGTTTGAAATTGAACTTTTTTGAATTATCGAGCTCATAGCTTATTTATGGGTTCAAATCGATAAAATATAAGGCTTGAGTTTGAATATTTTTTGAATTATCGAGGTCGATGCTCGTTTTTTATGGATTCAAACTCGTGATTGACTTCACTCATTATCGGTTCAAGTTCAATAATTTTTAGATTTTATTGTATTATTTATGAACATATAAACATGTTTGGCTTGAGAAAAAAATGTATGCTTAAAAGGCACAACTCGCCTCAATCAAGTCAGCTTGAAAAAGATCAACTGATTTTTCGAACAAGTTAAGTCGAACATAGGTATTACGAAGCTCGACTTGTTAAGTTAAACATTCCATTTCGAGATTAACTTGGACTCGAGAATTACTAAGTTCGAGCTGAATGATCTTGTTAAAAGCTCGAATCACTTACATCACTAGAGATCAACATCAAATGAGGGATTATAAGGTGTGTTGTTTATATTTGATAAAATTTGTATTTATCATATAATCTATACTATATTATAATACATTTGATAAAAACTCTTAAAAATCATTTTTTATGCACGAAGTACTGTTTATTGATTTATATTACTTAAAATTGAAGATTACAAGTAAATTGTACATAAGTACAACTTATTAAACCTCTATTTTTGAATTCATGTAACTAACTACAAATAACATAATCACATACAAGATAAACATCCCATTTTAAATATAAACAATCTAAAATATAATTAGGATAATTATTGATTTTTAATAAAATATTTAATTAGTATCTTTATAAAAAATTATATTATTTAACCAAAAATAAATTACTTCGTTATAAAACCGAAATTAAATTATAATAGAAAAACTAAATCAAAAAATTACACAAAAACGAGAACTTTTAAATAGTTAATTTGATAATAATACAAATATATTTTTAAATTTTTTTAATTATAATATCTTAAAATTTATATTTGTTTTAAAAATGAAAACATTATCATTTTCTCAAAACCACATAAAATTGTATTATACAAAGACAAATAATAAAACGAAACAATAAAAGCGAGATGTATCTCGCTGCATTGTGCGAGTACTCTTCTACTATGTTTAAATTAAATAAAACATTTTGTTGAAATAGTTATGTAATCCTTATTAAAGACGATAAAACTAATAAAAACCGAATACAAAACCTTATATTCATTATGTGTTAAGGCAACGGTTATTACTAAATTGATCACCGTTTGATGTTCACAAATGACAAAATTGTTGGAATTGAGTTGATTGAAAACCATAGTGTCTTTAAGCTATGATTGATTTTAGCTGTATATTAATGACATAAATATGTAACGGTTTTATACCTTCAATTTTACATTTTGGAATAAACAATAAATTCTTTTCAATAAATAACTACTTTAGGCTTTGAATGTAACTTCATAATAAAGTACAAATTCCTGATTGGTTTTAGTTTGACTCCAAAGGTCAAAAGTACCAGAATGTCCCAGGTTCAGATCCAAAGAAGAATAAAAATTCTCTTGTGGCCACGAAGGTTCAAATACGGTGACTCCGGGCTATCTGCAAAGCAGGTAGTCGTCCTGGGATTAGTCGGCTCGCATAGCGAGTTGGATATCCAGGTTAATCAAAAAAATAAAGTACAAATCTTGATCTAATAATGTTTTAACTATTATAATTTATTAAAAATAAGTACCAATAAACCTACGATTTAGAAGGGATTTCGATTATCTTAAAAATTGATTATATAATTCTTGTCGTTGAATCTTGATTTACTAATTATTTTTTCTAAAAAGTGATTTTATTAATGAGTTGACTCGCTTTTCTTCTCTTTATTGCAAATGAGCGGTGGAATTGGGTCAAATGCATCAATAATCATTTTTTGTCACTGTCTCGCTTATCTATACTACCTTATAAAGCATATTTGCTAAAATCTTAAAACAATTATTAATACTTATGTACTATTGTTTTATGCATTTATTCATGAAATCTCTTAATTACAGCATTATAAGCTTGACGTAGAAGATATCAATCCCAAACTCATCTCGGAATTGATCTTTCCAAAGATCGGCCGCTCCAGTCATATGTTCCCATGGCCAAGATGTTTGCTGTACATAATGTTCATTTCTACTGGCATTAGCTTGCACTTCCCGACGTCAAGGTTTTTTGTTTGGGGTTCGTTTGATTGGGTGAGAGACCATTTATTGAGCATAGATGCTTTATATGTTTAAAAGTTATGCCCAATCCATATTTGTGAAACTTGATTCTAATTTCCGATTATATCTTGCAGATTGGACAGAGTTATCCACAGACTAACCAACAATTTGTTAAAGCGTTTTGAGCCACAAACTCGGCTGGAGTGTAGAGAAGAGAAACTGCTTGTCGTACAAAGGTATTTCATATATGTTCTATGATTGATCTCATATGTTTTTAATACACAAATCTAATTGGTATGTTTCTATTTTCATTTGAAGGCATTGGTGTAGTTTGTCAGCAACTTTTGTCGAGTCTACTCCCCACCTGTATGAAAAGGTGAAACTCATGTAACATGTTTCAGATAGAAAACTATATATATATAGGGCCAAGATCAAATGATAACCATCATTTTTGTGTTAACCTTGTTAACTGATTTTGGTCATCCAAATATATAATCAACGGTTAAGATTAATCAATAAAAAAAATTGAACTTTAAAGTTTGAATTTTAATGAGGCCTAGTGAACAATGATGAAATGGACATTTTGGAAAGAAAAAATACACTTATCAAGGGTATTCTAGTAAATTGAATTCATTTGTAATCCCCAAACAATTAATGGGGAGTTACAAACAATCAAATCTCACTCTTCTTCTTCCTCTTCCTCTTCCTCTATTTTAATGATGGATGTTAGTTAATAAATGAGCGAACACGAACAAACCTTTTTTTGTTCGTTTAGTTAAATGAATGAAACATGAACAAAAGTCTCATTCGTTCATTTATTTGGATTTAAATTTTATCATCATTTAAAAATTTTATTTTTTCACTTTTTCACCCAAAACCCCAGCCTCCAGATGAAATCTTCTACAAATCATGGTTATTTTTTTTTTTCTGTTCAAATGATGATATTTTGGTTTACATTTCCGTTTTCATTTTCATATCAATATATGTTTAAAAATAATATATAATCATCATAATAAAAGTAGAAAAGAAGAATACTTTAATTTGTTCATAATTACTTCCATCATGGTAAAATGTTAATTTTAAAGGTTAAAATGTAAGGTTAACCATTTGATAGATTCACTTTTTTTTTTTTAATAATTTGGATATCCAACCCGTTATGCGAGCTGACTAATCATAGTGCGACCACCTGTTTTGTAGATAATCCGGAGTCACTGCATTTGTCACAAGGGGATTTTTATTTCTCTTTAGATTTGAACCTGAGACATCCTAGTATTTTTAATCTTTACAGCCAAACTTAAACCAATCAAACACCACCCTTATGGTTAATTCATTTTATTTTTTGTCAAAAACTACGTATTTTTTTATAAATAAATAATGAATGAATTATAGATATAAATATCCAACCAATATTGATTGCTTTATGCACAATTGCATTAGCAAAGCACATGAAAGAGGGGACACGAATAAGCATCTCTTTGGCATTCTTTCAACATCAATAATTACAACACCACCCATTTTAATTGCTTCTTTTTCCATAGAATTCTAACTTTTTTATGCCCACTCCACGAACCCAACCCAACCCAACCCGACGATCTTTAACTTTAGAAACCCGTCAAATGGAATTGTAGGAGATCATGTCGTGAATCCCTAAATAACGACGCTACAACTCTCGTTTTCCTGTGCAGGGTCAAACCGTCAAGTGTCACGGAAAGGGGTGTTGACGAAAGTCGGTCGTCAATCCGCCCTGATCCACGACCATGAAGTCATCGAACGACGTCAACCCAAACTCACCATCCAACATCATCAACGGTGACGTAGTGGAACAAGAAGCATAAGATGCTCTGGAGGAGCATCGAGCCAGACGGGCTTTGGCAACCGCCAAATCATGCTGAAGCTGGAACATCTTGTCCTGCAAAGAGGCTATGGCTCCAATGCAGCCATATACAGGGTCTTTGAGGCGCTCTTCGGCCTCAAAGACCAGGGAGTTGACAGCATCTTGCCGTTGTGGCTCGGGCACCTCGTTCAGAATCTTGGTGACATTGCTGGCACCGAAGACCTTGTGAACCTTGGCGAACTTGTTGGGTTCATCGGCTCGGAAATAAGGTGCAAAGAGGCAGTGAGGGGTGCACCTTCTTTTCATGAACTTGCAAGCAGCACAAGAAGAGCTGGAACGTGCCTCTTGGCTTCTCATGGATTGTCTTTATTTACCTTCCCCTTTTCTTTGCAAAATGTATATATATAGCATTTGAAAGGCCCCAACCATATATATATTATATATATATATATATATATATATATATATGTTTGTTAAGTGGATTATTGTTTTAAACCCTCAGTCATTCATTATTTTATTAATATTTTAAAATAAATATCATGACAGTGAAAGTGTATAAATGATCATGTTCCAAATTTACTTTTTTACTTGTTAATAATCATCAAAGTTTGAATGTCAATTCAACCGATAAATAATCTTTGGGCTTCTCTTTTATAGATTTTATTAGGATTTTTCTTGACTGTTGTTATCTTCATGGTCCCATGACATTAACTGATGTACGAACAAATTGAACTCACAATTAAAAATAAACTGAAAAACATCAAGCCTGAAATTAGGCAGGGCGCTATAGTAAGATCTCAAAGACAAACTAGGCCAACTCTTTTTTAAAACGCCCACTCTGGAAAGGCCTAATGGAGCTATCTCTCAACTAGGGGTGAACAGCGGAACCGGGTACCCACTTGCGGAACCGGAACCGATATGAGTGGTTCCGGTTCCTAAAATACGGAACCGATTGAAAATGGTTCCTGTTCCGGTTCTTAATTTTTCGGAACCGGTTCCCGGCGGTTCCGGTTCAAAAAATTCAAGAACCGCTCTAACCCGGTTCCGGCTCCAATATCTCAAGAACCGCCGGTTCCTATCAAATAGGGCGGTTACCCGCCTATGCTCACCCCTACTCTCAACCCCAAAGTCTGTTTAGACAACCACACTTGAAAAACCTCAGTATTTTTTTGTTTATTAAAAAAGGAGTTTGCCCGAAAAAACTTGGAACTTATACATCTTGAGCCATAATTATGATGTTGATTTTAGTTTCCAAATCTTCGTTGTTTTGTGATGATTCAAGGATATTTTTGGTATTTAATTAATAAAAAAAAGATTTATTTTATTGAATTATATTTCAAATCACAAAAATTTGTTTATATTCAAATGGAGAAGTACAATTTGTTCAATGTAAGTATGATGATGCTTCTACAAATATGTTGTTGAAGAGAAGCAAAATAGAATTTCTTTTATAACATTACTTTTTCTCTTGTTTTAATAATAAATATAATAATTCTTAAACTTGACTCAAAATGTCAAAAGTATCAGGAGGTTTCAGGTTCAAATTCAATGAGGAATAAAAATCCCATTGTGGCCACGGAGGTTCAAATGCAATGACTCCCTGCTATCTGCAAAGCAAGTGGTCGTCCTGAGATTAGTCGTCTTGCATAGCGAATTGGATATCCAGATTAATAAAAAAATATATAATAATTTATGAAATAAATGATATTTTTCTCCTTTCATAATAATAAATGCAAAATATTCCATCACACAGTTTTTTATCCACACATTTTTTGTTCTTTTCAAGAAGCATTTTTAATATTTAATAATATAAGGGTATTTTCAAAATGATTTTGTAAAATAAAAAAATAGAGATTTTTAAGATTTTAAGAACGTGAGAAAATAGGAGAGAAATTGTGTGAAATTCTCTAAATTTGGATAACTTTTAGAAGATGATTACCATGAGAGAGATAATATTTTATTAAATGAATAAAATATTTTATTAATAATCAATGTTGTATTCTTCAATGTCAGTATAGAGCATTTGTGTTCCTTTTGTTAGCGTCTGTGTTGGGGTGGTGTTGTTCTTCTTTGGGCTTGAGATTGGTTTGTTTGTCTTCGGAGTTGAGATTGCAAGGGTGGCTCCTCTTGATGTTGCTTCTTTCTTTGCTTCGGGTTTTTTTTGGTTGTTTAAGCCGTGCTTTTCTATGGTTTTTATGGGCTTGTTTGTTTCTGTTTCTTGCAAAATCTTCTGCCCTTGAACCTTCTTGTTTGATCTGTTCTTTTGATCTATTTACTGTCTTTCAAGAAAAGAAAAACTCGACAACTTCTCTGTTTTGTAGCATATCAATGTTGGAGTTGAATATAAAATTTTGAGGTTTTGAATTTTAATTTTCCATTTTGAAGAAATCTTAGATAAAATCATATGTTAACCCTATTTTATCCGTAAAATTTGTGCATAAAATCAAAAAGTCTGGCTTTGATCAGACTTAACCATATAAGATAATTAAAGAAACGAATTTGATGGGTTTTTATATATTTTTGGTTTGATGGATTTATTAAAAGAATTAAAAAAATATGTTGGTAATAAAAATATAAAAAAGAAAAACAGAAAAAAGAGGGGTTAAGGGGGGGAGACATGATGGTTCATCTCCACAAAGGAGTGGAGGAGACAATTGTGGCCTCATAAGATTAGACGGCACATCATCATACATACTTGTTCATCATCAAAATATCAAGTAAATAGAAAAGTAGATTCATATTCACATCGGAATCGGAATTGGAATTGTAATTCAAAATTGAGATTGGAATTGGAATTGGAATTGGAATCGGTTAAAGGAGATTTCACAACCAAAGAGCACAAAACATCCACAAGAAGTAAACCTATGATGCCTACACAAGCATTGGTTTGAAAGACACCTATGGCTATATATTTAATACACTTTCTTGGCCCAAACAAAACCACCACTATCATCTTCCTAAAAGTAAATACTATATTTAATCATCAAAATATACCATAATTAATTATGACTCAAGATCTTATGAAACTTAAGAATTTGACTGGGGATGTTTATCAAAGTCTTATCTAAGTAAGTGTTTATTAAGTTACATTATCTTACCTGGATGAATATAATAAGAATCAAGAATCTTATCCGGTAAGAACGAGACAAGGACCAAGAGTCTTACCCGGTAAGTGGGGACGACGACTCTTACCACGGTAAGCACTTACCGGGTAAATTGTTGCATACGATATCGTTTTGGTGGACTAAAATCTTACCCGGTAAGTAAATGATAGTGCTAAATTTTACAAGTAAGCGCTTACCGAGTAAGTGTTTGGTAAACGGTCCCTAACTCAATGTTGTCAATAATCTTTATCCCTTCAAATATGATCCTATAAAATTTTCACTACAACTTCATTATTATTTTTAAGCTATTTTCAAACGGAGTGATTATGGTAGGGATCAACATGCATACATAATTCGATTGGATTAGATATGATAAAACTGTATAGGACTGGTCTGATGTTCGGTAGGATGAAGACTGAATAGGACATGACTAGACGCATTACCTCTAAAAAGTGTGATATATATATATATATATCATATAATAGTTATAAATGATACAAATAACATAAGTATTAATATAATTTAATTTATAAATTTTTTTAAAAACCCCACAATGAAATTATCTTTAAAACCTCTTTTTTTGTGTGTGGGTTTCATGTACCATTTTCAGCATTAATTTTTATTATATCTTTTTAAATCAATTAAAAAAAACTAATAAAATACACTTCTCATAAATTAAAAAAACAGTTCAGAAAATAAAAAAAAAAATGATTTGATTTGTTTTGTTTTTTAGAATTAATTTTGGTAGGAGTTGAATTGTGCGAGATTTGGAATGGATAGATGGCGAATTGTATCAATAGAATAGTAATTAGTAAGGGGTTGTTTGTTTACCTCTTAATAGTTTCATTAAGAGGCAACATCTGAACCGTTAAGAGATGAATCTTGTTTGACAAAAAAAAAATTTCTCTTAATGATTCTAAAACCCTCTGAATGATTTTGTATCCTGGATCCCCATTAACCATTAAGAACCCTAATTTCATTGTACACAATTACCAAACAATTATATTTCATTTTGCACTATATCATAAGAGCCTCTTAATCATTCTGACCACTTAATCATTCAATAATTGTCAAACAGCCCCTAAATAGTGTGTTAATGTTGGATTACAAGATGGTCCCTGGCCTTTTACACAATGGGTGGATCAGGTCCTTCTAAATTCTCTTTTTGCTTTTTCAGTCCTTATATGTCAAATCAAAAGGGAGCTTCAGGTGGGTGGGGTTCAATCTTTTTTTTTGTTGTTTTACGGAATTTCCATCACAAAAAACTTTAGCTTTATAAAAATTTAAACATCATTGAGATATTTTAAACCATGTTTAATCATTACTTGTAACAAAAATTCATAATTACATGTATATTTTTTTTTATGTTTTAACAAGTAATATTTACAAAATTTTGTCAAAATTTGGAATCAGCGAGCTAGGCCTTTATGGTAAGAAACGGAAATCTTATCCAGTAAAAACAATTACAAGAATTGATAATTTTATCCCGTAAGTGACAATGACGACTTTTATCCGGTTAACATTTATTGGATACAAAACAATGAAGTGGTTAACCACTGTAAGTGTAATGAATGTAAAGTAAGTAACATGGGAGATGAAATTGACATATAGATACAATTGATTGATTGAGTGACTACTTTCTTTCATATGCTTAATCATAAACCTAATTACCACAACCGACCTTATAAACACATCATTTTTGTTTTGTAGTTCTATTTTCTTAGAAAAAAGGAAAATATAGAAAAATGGTCATTTCAAAGGGAATTGAAGTGGGGGTAGGATGATGGAAAAGAAAGAAAGAAAGATAATGGGCTACATCTCCCTCCCCCACTTGGGTTGTAAACGCCCCCCATATTTGGCTCCTATTTAATCACCACGGGCCACCCATTAAGATTCTAACATCAACTCAACTAGATTGTTGTGGCCCCCTTTGGATCACCTTATCATCCCCCTTCCCTTTCTCCTCTTATCATCACCGCCCCCCACCCCACTATCTCTAACTCATTACATGATCCATGTCTAATTCTATTCCCTAAAATCATAACTAAACCCACGGATTGTGTAATGTTGTAAAACATTACACCAAAGTTTACAAAGCAAAAACACCAAACATATTGTGAGAGAGGGGAAACAGACAACACATTGTTTACATTGATTAATTGCTCAGCTCTACTACTACTGTTTGACATCAAACAGTAGCAGTTAAAAAAAGGTGCCTATATCCTCACTTCACTCGAGGCGAAGCAAAGCAAAGCAGCATGATGTTATGATATAACTCGAGTGAAGACATTATTATTAATGAAACTGTCTAAAATTACACACTTTTGACTCAGACTATAAAGGTGAAGAAAAGCTAAACTGCACACCAGTCTTTGCTCGATCCTCTTCATGTTGTCTCACTATGTAGCAGTAGTTCACCTACAAACCAAATCGAACCTCAAAACACTCTTCATGCATAAAACGTATCATCTATCTAATGGGCCCATTTTAGTCGCACAAATTCGGTATGCGTTAACAGCATCATTTGTATGGTAAACAACCTCATCTCTTACCGAGTGGGTGAGCAGCAATTAGTAACCAGCTCCTAGATTTTATTATCCTTCACTTGCTTATGGTCTAGTTTAAATAAACTGTGTTTGACTGCTTATCAGTTATCCAACATGCTTACTAATAACAACAAACTGAAGAAATCCTGATTACCATAAATTTATTTATAACCAAGATAATAATGGTTTAGTTTTAATTTGGGTCTTTCAAAACAAGGTAACATTGGATGGAAAAAGTATACAAGCAACTCTTTGCTATAGAGCTGAAACGATACCTAATATTACCATTTTCACTAATTAATCATTATGCCACCTCATTGCGCTTTATCCTAGTTGGGCTAAGCCAATCTTAAGGAAAACACTAGATAACAACCAAGAAAAAAGAGGATTATTTATTATTCTTTATGAACTCCTATTTCCAGATGCTACAATTGAGTGGAAGGAACAATCTAGACCAAAGGACCTTCTTTAAAGACTATTACATGTATCAAGAGGCGTCTAACGAGCTATGAAGAAAACTAGACTATTCTGGGAGCTAAGGCTCCTAGGATATTCTAGTCTTTCTTTAGAGAATCAATTCTTGTAGGCTCCAACTGGTTGCTCCCTCTTAATAATCCTCTTGGTGTGTTTGTGTCTGGGTATAATTTGAAAAAACTAGATTGGTTTGTTGTACCACAGGCAGATGATACGGCACAGTGTGTATTTAATACTTGATCATTTTCTTCACGCAACAAATGATAATATGCATACCTCTGTGAAAAGACTATTGGTACACTCGAAAGAGAGTGAGCTACAGCCTACAAATAGAGCTTTCAGTAAAGAAGTTAAGTGTACAAAAGTTCCCAAGCAATGTGCTCATGTAACTGCAAGTAATCACTAGCATCCTTAAGTTCTTGCATGGACTATTAGATAGTTAGTGTGCTTACTACTTATCTTACTTATCCTTGAAATTTCGGATCAAATTGCACTCATTACCTTTTAAGAAATTCTCCACATATTCACTATTCGACTACAGTCTGACTGGCTTATTTCCTAAACGTTCTCCAAATGCATGTAACATTATCTGATTGAATAATTCAGGAGAAAAAACTAACCTCCATGCGAAACAACTTTGTTGGTACAATAAGCCCAAAGCCTGCCGAGCTACGGAATGAATCACGGTACTTCTGGAAAGAAAAATCTTGAAATGCGTTCTCTGTTAATTTGGTTAGACTCCCAGCACAAGCAAACGCGTGTGCATGAATATTAGAATCTCTCAACACCTTCAATGGGAGATCAAAAGAAAGGTCTGCAAAGGCTGTAACAGCAAGGTCTCCACCAAGAAAATCTCTTTCAGAAGTATCGGAATTCGTATCTTCAGAGTTTGTTTTGACTTGTCGTTTTGGCTCACTTGGGCCCAGTCCCCTAGTCTTGAAACCCAATAACGATGTGGGTCCGCCTAATGTGCAAACAGGAGAAGAGTTCCCACCCAAGAAGAATCGATCAGGTAAAGATGCAGGTGTATTCAAGAATCCATTCCCCCATGGAAAAAGAACACCACCAGCAACTCCAAAGTTCAGTGCAGCACCGGCAAAACCCAAGGGCAAAGCATAACGAAGATCAACCTCCTGTCAAGAATAATGAGATTGAGAATATGTGTTTATTACAGCAACGAGCGTTGACTTTGTTCAACAAGATGCACGAATTTCATAATATCAGAGTAATGTGGTCAAACTGAAATCATAAGTTTTAAATTTCTTTAACCTCTCAAATCCGACCTATTACAGTCTGTGTTTTATAGTTTTAATTTCTTTAACCTTTTTAGCATTCATGGAATGGGGCCGGAATCCTGATTCACTCTAATACATAGTATATTATATGCATATCCTCACCTGGAGATATCTGCAGAAAAAAGCACAGTTTTTCACTTTATCACTGGAATGCAAACTTACTTATCCTTATGTTAAGGAGTGGTCATGCAACAAGCAAAACAAGAATCTTTTTAACTTATAGTGTGCTCCGTATGCATCTCTTTCCCAAATGATTTCCAGTGAATCGTCATTATGCATGCAAGATACAGAATTACAGATTAAGAGAAACACACACTTCTGGTTAATTGTATTAAAAGAAATCAGTTTTTTTTGGCGAAATAGTTATTTTTATTAGAAATTTTAACAAAGTTGCATGATTAATTACACGAGCACTCGGAAATAGAATTCACCCAATGTGTGCTCCAAAATAACTAAACAAGCAACTTATTCTAGCTCTTGCTTTCAGGATGAGCATGTCTTGTCTACCGGTGCATGATATCTCCAAAAGAAATATCAGTTCTCAGGGTGTTCTATGTTTTAGATGCTCTCAACATGCATTCAAGTGCATGAGGGCGATTCTTCTGTTTTTTGCACGTTGTAAAACATTTGAGTAAAAGTGGCACATAATCTAGTATATATTACAATGCCATAATTCACTGAAATGCTAATGCATAAACACTAAAGACAACAATTTACCAATTCAGGTAAATAACAAAAGACAAGCATAACAAAATGCTACAAATTGGATATAAATCAGCAATAAGAAAATGAAGAGGAAAAAACATGTTTTGTGAGTACAAAAAAAATTGAAAATTTGGAACGGATCACATACCTGGCGGATAAAACGCAAGCTTCGATAATCAGGAAAAATGCCACCTAGTTGAGAAGTAGAAACAAAAGCAAACCCTCTCGTTGGTCTGAGAGATGAGTTCCTCCTATCAATCTTAAATGTGTACTTCAGATGTGATAGTAAGCCATGCCCAAGCTGCCTCCTTATCGACTTAGAAGCCATTTGTGATGGGTCGGTCAAGGTGCGCCAAGAGATATTATATGCTAGGTCATGATTTTTAGTTGATAGTAGGCCAAGAGATAGGCCCAATGCTTGCTCCTTGTAAGAGGAGAACTTCAGCCAATCTTGAGAAAGCAGGGAGACACGAGCCATAACAGGAGTAAGCAATCTCATGAATCTTGGCAAAGACACACCAGCACTAACTTCGGATGTTTGGTCCCAGCCATAAGACAAAGAACCATCCCAGAGATCTCCATACCCAAATAAGTTTTTAAGCTTGAGTGATCCCTCAAGTGACCAAGATTTAGCCTACAGAAGCAATTAAAAGTATACTATATGAGAAGTGAAATGCATCTTGTACCTCAAGAAGGAAAATATCAAAAAGCACGTCATGTAAAATGTATCACTGAAACATAAATTTTTAGGCTAAAGGCTTTGACGGCAATGAACTATAGGATGCATATTAAGTAAATAAGATAATTGTACTTAATGTTTGCTTTGACAGCAAAAGATAAAACAGTAGCTTGATTGATGCCATAAAGGTAATCGGTCAACATGGTTATTCAACATTCATTCGAAATGCAACTAAAAGTTATAATATTTTGTATGAAATATAGTGTAACATGTCAATCCAGAAAATATGACACTATCTCTCGCTAAAACAAAAAGAGGGTTTGTTGTTACTAGAGAACTCTTTGTTCTCCCACATCTGTCTCACATAGGAATTGCGGAAGAAGTTCATGTCAGAAACACAACCCATTCACCTTTTCTCTTTCCCTACTGAAGCTGGAAACCCTTCTAATGGGAAGATCTTTGTATGTTTTTATTTCCAGAATCTTTATTTAGGACACTTGTTAGAAGGAGAAGTTGAAGAGAGCCTCTGGAACCCCTCCCATAAGAAGATCTCTGTAGGACACCATTAATCTCATTCTGCATATATGAATAGAAAAAACATGTTGACCTATACCCCGTATAGAAAAAGTTTATTGGCATAAGAAGCTGATATGACACCAATTAAGACCCACAACAATGTGGAAGATTGTGGCATATAGAATAATGAAAGAACGGCTTGTGAATATCATTTAAAACCTGGAATTTATCAAATAATTTTGGTAATAATGAATGGTCGTGAGCATTACTGGTTATGTAATGGTGACAAGTGTATCAAAATTACATACAAGATGACATATCATGGTGCATAAAATTGTTGAAGATATTGCCTTATTTACCATCCAAACCCAATTGAGTGGTAACGTTTCCAATTGGACAAAGGTGGAAGCTAGGTCGAAGGTTAAGTATAGTAGGTAGCATGTCATTTGCTGAAGAAGCTTTTGATTTGAGAGATATTGGTGGTAGAAGGTGTACAAATGGATCGTTCTTAGGTATCACAACAGAGGTGAGAAATGGACATAAATTTTTGCATTGTCACTATCATTCAATATACATGTTTGACCTTCTATTTGAACTAATTCCTCAAGAGGCATGTGTAGCAAGCAACAATAACATGTTGGGTACTAACAGGAGTGGTGGATGCAGGATCTTCCTCATGAACTTTTGTTGATTGTTGTTCCTCTCCATATTGTTGTCATACCATCTACTCAAGTCTAACCAAAATAATATAGATAAACTGCACCTGATATGCTCCTTGAACAAGGGACAATCATAAAAGACTTTGTACACTCATTTACTTTGTTGAACTCTGTTTTTGTTATCATGGTCCCCCATATATATTAAGCATTCCACTCGCAGTGGGTCTAACCTCGAAATGGAAGAAGTCTACAGCCCCAGCAACAGTCATCTAGTAAGTAATGACTAACGACACAATTCAATACCTAATCACACCAATTATGTCATATAAACTTGCATCAAATTTATGAAGTATTGAGTTAGGGATTTCCTGATTTTAGAACATCCAAGCATTATGGACTTAATATCCAACAAGAACGACAGATCTGGGCATCTAAAGGTTCTGCTCAGACACATAAATAAATGCGGGAATTGAGTTTGAGCATAAATATAATGTCAGAGATGAAGAAATTTTGGCCAGATTCTATGTCAAATGCCCAATCTCAAGTCATGTAAAATCAAGGTTTTCCAAATAGGGAAGGTTTTCTTAGGATGAACATGATAGGCATGCTAGAAAGGTGGTCCAATAACTCTCTCATTCAGATATTTGTTACTTTTACTCTCTTCTAATAGATAAGATGGGAGGCATCGTTAACAATGGTCTCATTGGCCTTCATTGCAACAGCCTAGCCTTCTAGCATTTAATCAGCTAAACAGAGGCTACATGTATACGTTTAAGCGGTGCACTTTAATACATAAAAGATAAACCTTTTTAGATTACATAAACATATGAAAGTTGAAATTTTCATTCAATATGTATTGATGGATTAAAAAGATTCTCCCCACTCCAAAAATAAGTCACTTTAGAATAAAACCATGACGTTCAACTTTGAAACCCCAGATTTTTTTCTTTCTGTGGGATTAGGAATAATGATAAGCCACCTTATTTGCATTTAGAAGTATAGGTACGCCTCATTGTTTCAGGCTACGTTCAAAGTAGTCAGGCAGCTTGGGCTACATGAGATCGGAGTTGGTTCTAATTTATGCTGCTTTGATAGAGTAAAATATACTGTACAAAATAATTTTGACCATCAGTTCGTTAGTAAAATAGTCTCCGGTGCCAAAATCTTTTCAAATTGGTTGTATTAGTTTCTAAACATACCAATAATATTAGCAGTTTGACCAAAGGGCCTTTGGCCTTGCGGTATCGTAGTCCTTGGCCTCCTAGGAGGTCAAGGGTTCAAACCTCACCAAAGGTGAGGAGGGTGTGTGAGTTTATTTGTTGCATTTGCCTTATATAAATATTATATACTTCAAAAAAAACTATTAGACAGTTTGGTTGATTCGTATTCAATATTTGAAACAACTAATTCAGCAATTAGTTGCTATTGAAGCCCTGGGGGCGCTTAATGCGTAGTTGGGGCCCTAAGTTGTGACTTCTACGACACTACTTAGTTCCAAATTCATGGACAAGAAGCTAAAGGCAAAGACAATGCCATATGATGAAATAAAGCAGAATGAACATGTGTTTTATCACACAATCACATAAAAATAGCACCACAAGGAAGTCGTCCTCATCGGCTCTGTTTTTTCTTTTTCATCGTAAAGACATGTGTATATCATGAAATACAGAAAGTTATACAAACTCAAAGCATAATTGATAATCTTATCATCTTAAACAAGGTGTAAAGATAATAATACAAGTATATAAAAAACAATATTAAATGACAGTGATGTTCCAAAATGCTGAATTATGGACCTCATGGAAACACATATCCTTCCCATCAAGAAACAATCCAATTGAGCTGCATGAACACAAAGATCCTTCTATTCAAATTTGATACAAGAAAGATCTTTCTATTCAAATTTCATGGAAGCCATTCTTAAATCAACTGGTTTTGCTTTGAGGAAAGATTGTTCTAAGCATCAAGTTTTTTATATAATTACAAAATGAATATATTGGCAAGCGTACTGAAACTTATATAGCAGATCATAGTCTTTCTCTTCTATAAATTGATCCGCTCTATGTTCACGTGATAAAAAATTTCAAGGTCATGTTCTCATTGCCTATACATGGACTAACAGATCATAAGCGGGATAAGGTGAGGAATAAACTTTTTCCAACTAAACGAAAGACATAATACATTAAAGAGCCCTTGGAACTTGATTCCACAATCAGCATAGACAATCATCCTCATACCCAACACCTTAAAATCTTTAACTCAATTCCACCTGATACACTTCGAACCATGCAGTCAATCATATTATTCTCGGTAGATGGCCAATCTGGTTTTGCCTCATCTTGTCAAATCCACAAAGTTTCATATCATTGTATGAAACTTAGCCCTATGCATTTATAACAACATGCAAACTTCATTGCATTCACTAAACTAGAAGCATAAATATTCATATCACTGCAAAAACACTCAGTCCCATAAATGATTACTTCCTCCTGAAGTGACTCATTATTAAAGACCCAGATACAAAACAAAACAATCTTAACAAGTGATAAATAACTCCAAATGCAAACCTGTTACTGCATACCTAGAAATCATAAAATTACAAACTCTAAAACAACCAAACGAGTGCTTTGTTACGCCTACCGTTGTTATTAATTTCTTGTCTAACCTCATTGCATTCAAATAGATGATCAATCAGAATAATGATAGAAACCTAGATAGCAATCAGAATTTATTAATTAACAACCATACGATCAATATGTCGTCCCAATCACCTCACAGTCGTAATGTAACGAAGTAAGAAAATAAACGGGAACTACCTCCGGTTTGGTAAAAATGCCGATATCACCAGTGAGAGGGTTTTTCGACTCAACAACTTGAACAATCACATTAGAAGTCCCCGGCAGTTCAGGTGGGCCCGAATCAAGCGTGATATTTACGGAATCGAAAATATCGAGTTTTTGAAGCCTCGCATTGGCTATGGTCGCCGCTTGAAGCAGCTCTTGGACTGAAGTGGCGTTTTTTAGGGCTTCAACTTCAGCTTCGATCAACGATTCTTTAGTCTTGTTGTTTCCTTTGATCAACACATCATGGACTCTGAGCGGAACTCTCTCCGACGAAATCCGGTGAAAAATTCCTTCCATTCTTGCCCTTTCGGCTCGCATTCTCGATTCTGACGTTACTGGTAGTTGTTGTTCTTCTTCTTCCTCATCTTCATCTTCATCTTCATCTTCATCAAAATCATCTTCTTCCTCCTCCTCGCCTCCATTTGATGATTCCTTCTCGTCTTCGTCTTCGTCTACTTGTGAAATTGGATTATCTTCTTTCACCATGTTCGATTTAGCTGTTGTGTGGTGTTATTGGTTTGATGCAGTCCAAGTTGAGAGCGATGAAAGAGAGGGGTTAGAATTAGACAGACTGAAGCCAAGCCACAGTGATCAATTGATGTGCCGTGTGCGTGTTCTCCTTGGGTTGGGTATCTGCTCGGCTCGGCTGGGCTGCCTTACAATATTTTTGTTTGGGCTTGACCTAATTCTCCTGCTATCTTTGCACGGCCTATTTTAAATGTATAAAATTACAATCTATTTTTATAATTTTTTATTATATTATTTTATTTTTGTTTTTTATTACAATAATGTACTTTTAAATTATTTTTTATTAAGACATCGTACTTTAAAAAATCTACCCATTGTAGCAATGAGTAACTTGTTACCTTTTAAACCGGTTAACCCCTTGACTTTTTTTTGTTTCTGTGACTTTAATGAGGTGATGTGGATGACACATCATTTTGATGACTTAACTAAAATAAAATAAAAACTTATTTCAAATTATTATTAGTGATTTTCATTTTTCATTGCTATGATTTAAAAAAATATTTAATTTTTTTTATTTTTTTATTTTTTTATTAAGTTGCATTCAAATTAAATATTCTAGAATAAAGTATTTCTCAAATAAATATGATACATTATTTTCGAGATATATTTTGTTTGTAAAAAAGTAACACTTTTTATTTTATGTTGTTTAAAAAAATAATATCTTTTAAAGTTCTCTCTAAAATGTTAACGTAATAAATTGTGATCTATAATTTTTTAATATTATTATATTAATAAATAATT